CTGGATGTGAAGAAAGATAAAGGTTCTTTTGAAGGTCAGTTCACCATTTCCCAGGGAAGGCATCTGACGTGAGTGAAAATTCTCAAGGCCTCTTTCACTTTCTCATTCCTCAAGGTGTAGGTGATTCGATTTCGCGAAGGTGTGACCACCGGAGTCAGTACCTTCGCAACTTTCTTGATATCAAGAGAAGTCTGTGAAATTCTCATATACGTGAATATGGCACTGCCCTAGTATAGAGAGGCCACAGAAATATGAGCACCACAAGTGGAGAAGACCTTTTGTATTCCTGAGGCAGATGTGATCTTCAGCACAGTGGAGAAGATGTATTGTAGATGATTGTCCATGTTAATGAGCTCAGTAAAACAATGACTGCTGTCACAAAGTCTGCAAGTTCTTTCGCCACAGGGAAGTTTCAAGAGAGGTTCAGGATAACAGAAGAAATCATCAGTGACACTAGAATGTCCGTATGACAGCCTGAACAAGAATGATAATTTGGCTAATTACAAGTAGAAAACTTCCTAGCTAAGACAAGTTGAAAGCACACTTTTGTATTCGTGGGTGCAGGAAACTAACTACATAGAGATCAAAGGACACGACAGGCAGAATGAATGTTGCTATCCCCAGGAAAAAATAGAAGAAACACTGGATAATGCAATCTGAGAAAGATATAGCTTTAGTGTTTGAGACAGAAGGTTCATTAAAATCACTGGTCTAATGGATGTGGTGAAACAGATTTCTAGAAAAGACATAGCGGTGCGCAAATTGTGATCTCTCCAAAACCACTGTGATGCTTGTTGAGTTCCTCAACAGCGTTGACAAGTAAATGGCCAAGAGCATCAGGAACAGTGGAATCTGAAGGTAGTGGGAGACAGAAAATTCCACTAGAATTAATTTAGTCACAGTGCTCTGATTTTCCAGGGACATTTCTCCTGTATGGAAAATAAATGGGGATAACTGCAGGTAATGTATAAAGGTTTTGAACAAAGAATAAAATCTTGGGATCTTTACAGGAAGCAGATGTATATTTCGTGAAAATTTAGGCCTCTACATTTCTAATTACACTAGTTAGCTATTGCCTATGAACACAAACTAATTACCTATGAACACAAATGTCCTTTCTTTCTATGTTATGTCTAGAATAATTAAGTGCCAACTTCAACCAGCACCTGTGGGCTCTAATCTGATACTGGGACACACATTAGAAGTTGCCTACCTACTATATTTCTCCATTCAGGAAATTCTACAGAGACATAAAAATTTTGTTAGAATATTATACAGAACATAAACAAAAGCTGAAATAGATACAGTATAGTTAGAGCAGGGTCAACATTGTTAGGTGAAGTGATAAACTTATCTATATATACAAAGGAGGCACAGAGAGACAATGGCAACTCTATTAATAACCTGCCCTGGCTACTGTCAGGCTCATCAGAAGAGAGGCACCAGCCCATCAAAGGCCCATTTCCTAAAATTCAGAAGGGCACAGATGTATAATAGCTGGGGGAGGGGGATGATGACAAACTTCCAAGGAACAAACACCTTACCCAAGCTATCCTAGGAGACCCATCAGACTTGAAAAGCTGTCCCAGGAGGTTCCTCCCCCACTGGAAGGTCCTGGCCAGCTGCATGCGTGTGCAAGTGTGCCACGGTCTGTACCAGCAAATGCAATAGGACTGCCATCTCAGGGGCTTGTATGTTCAGATGCCAGCAGCTGGGGAGATTTGGATCTAAGGGAGACTGCCAGCTGCTGGGCACACTGAGTGTCTGAGCCTGGCTGCTGGAGGCATCTACCTTGTACAATTGTATAAACGTATATATGTAAGCATATGTACCTATGCATATATATGCATATACATATATATGTATATACACATATACACATATATGTATACATTTATATATGTAGGCATGTGTGTATATATACACACACATATATATATTTTGAGGCATTTGGACAATGCCCTTAATAATATGTTTTAACTTTTTGTCGGCCCTGAAGTGCTCAGGCAGTTGGACTAGATGGTCATTGTAGGTCACTTCCAGCTGGAACTATTCTGAGCTATTGTGTATATATTTTCTCACTGTTGGACGTCCATACTGCTCAGCTTGAGAAGGATGAGATCACCGGTGCTGACTCTGTTTGAGTGCTCTGTGCCACTGTCTGTTTGTGTGGCCAGATGTGTATGTATATGTATGTATGGAGAGATATGGATTTGATAGGTGGACTGTCCAGTGGATGAGGAATTAGTTGGATGGTTGCATCCAGAGGGTAGTGGTCAACGGCTCAATGTCCAGATGAAGACTGGTGATGAGTGGTGTCCTGCAGGGGTCCGTACTGAGATCAGTACTGTTTAATATCTTCATCAATGCCATAGTGGGATCGAGTGCACGCTCAGCAGGTTTGCAGATGACACCAAGCTGAGTGGTGCGGTCGACACACCTGAGGGATGGGACATCCAGAGGGACCTGGACAAGCTTGAGAAGTGGGCGCATGTGAAGCTCATGAGGTTCAACAAGGCCAAGTGCAAGGTCCTGCACCTGAGTCTTGGCAACCCCTAGTATCAATACAGGCTGGGGGATGAAGGGATTGAGAGCAGCCCTGCCGAAAAGGACTTGGGGGTACTGGTGGATGAAAAGCTGGACATGAGCTGACAATGTGTGCTCGCAGCCCAGAAGGCCAACCGTATCCTGGGCTGCATCAAAAGAAGCGTGGCCAGTAGGTCGAGGGAAGTGATTCTGCCCCTCTGCTCTGCTCTGGTGAGCCCCCACCTGGAGTCCTGAGTCCAGCTGTGCAGCCCTCAGCACAGGAGAGACATGGACCCTTTAAGTGGGTCTGGAGGAGAGCCACGAAAATGATCAGAGGGATGGAACACCTCTGCTATGAAGAAAGGCTGAGAGAGTTGGGGTTATTCAGCCTGGAGAAGAGAAGGCTTCAGGGAGACCTTATTGCAGCCTTTCAGTACTTAAAGGGGGCTTTTAGAAAGATGGGGACAGACTTTTTAGCAGGGCCTGTTGCGACAGTACAAGGGGGAATAGTTTCAAACTAAAAGAGGGTAGATTTAGACTAGATAAAAGGAAGAAATTTTTTATGCTGAGGGTGGCGAAACACTGGACCGGGTTGCCCAGAGAGGTGGCAGATGCCCCATCCCTGGAACATTCAAGGTCAGATTGGATGGGGCTCTAAGCAACCTGATCTAGTTGAAGATGTCCCTGCTTTTTGCAGGGGGGTTGGACTAGATGACCTTTGAGGGTCCCTTCGAACCCAAACTATTCTATTCTATTCTAAGATGTCTCTGCTCATTGCAGGAGGGTTGGACTAGATGACCTTTAAAGGTCCCTTCCAACCCAAACTATTCTATGATTTCTGTGATTCTATGATATTGTATGTAGCATAAACTGCCTACCAGGATTGCATGTTCAGCTTCACTACTGGAAGGAACCAGGGGACTGAGTTAAACTAGGAAGAGCTAGTGCCTTAGAGGGTGCTGCAAGTGGTCCAGATGATGCAGAAAGAAGAATCTTCCAGGCTCTCGAGATCCTCTGATGAAGTAATCCTAACAAAGATAACATGGAACAACTTTATATTTCAGAAGAATTTGCGTAGAAAACTGTTAGGTAGAAGACTGACCTAGTGGTATGTATTCTTCTATAATTTATAGAAAGAAATAAGCATGTCTAGATCTATCACATCCTAAAGTAAGCATTTAAAACATATCACATGGATTGAGAGCTAAGATTTACTAGTAACTTATGTTAACTATAAAAGTCAACCAACATAAAAAATTACTTTACAGGGGAAAAGTATGTGTTATTTCCTTTCATAAACAATAAAAGGATTTTTTAAATAACTGGATTTCCAAGACAAAAAACATTTCAAGCTCCATCTCTAAAAATTATGAATTGACATATAAGGAAAAAAAAAGCTACAGGGGATTTGCAGAACTCTGAATGGATGAGACTGATTTCCAGCATTATCTCTATTTTCTACATATTTATATGTACTGTGTATCTATATTATCTATGCTTTTTATCTATACAATATAGATAAATATTTTCCACTGAAAGAAAGTTAGCAGAGCTTCTATATAGTTCTGCCCAAACATGCCCCATGCATTACGACTGCCTTCGCTAAGGAAAAAAGGAGGGTAATTGTCACAGGTGATTCCCTTCTGAGGGGGACGGAGGGCCCGATATGCCAGCCAGACCCATCCCACAGGGAAGTCTGCTGCCTGCCTGGGGCCCGGGTTAAGGACATTACGAGGAAACTCCCTAGTCTGGTACAGACCTCTGATTACTACCCGCTGTTGGTTATACAGGCTGGCAGTGAGGAGGTTGCAGAGAGAAGTCCCAAAGCGATCAAAAGGGACTTCAGGGCACTGGGGCGATTGGTGGAAGGATCGGGAGCACAGGTCGTGTTTTCCTCGATACCTTCAGTGGCAGGGAAGAATACTGAAAGGAACAGGAAAACTCATCGGATCAACACGTGGCTCAGGGGCTGGTGCCATCGGCGAAATTTTGGCTTCTTTGATCATAGGGAGGTCTACACGGCACCGGGCCTGCTGGGGACTGATGGAGTTCAGCTGCCTCACAGGGGGAAAAGGATTCTCATGTGTGAGTTGGCGGGGCTCATCGAGAGGGCTTTAAACCAGGTTTGAAGGGGGAAGGGGATAAAACCAGGCTCACTAGAGAAGCATGCATGGCACGCCAATGTTGGGGGTGAAATCGGT